CAAATAGGGAGAAGGCCAAAAACCACGGTTCGGTCAGGGGCTACGAACACGAGATGCTGCAGAAAGCCTGGAAGGATGCGTCCTATGGAGCAGTGCTTCTTTGCTCAGCGGAAACGGGGGATCCCTCCGTCGACAGTAAAGTTGAAGAAGTTCTGACCATCAGTGGAATCTCAGAGAGCCCCATGGGCCGTGTACCAAAACAAAACCCGGACAGGACATTGTCCAATGAGGGGCGTCCCATCAATGACATGCAGGGTCGAAATGCCATGGGATCCAAATATGACCACCCCCCCGCCGCTCAACCAAGACACAGAGCAGTGGTGAGGCAAAGCTTGTGGTGGAAAGCGAGGCACCCAGGCATCCCACAGCAATGCGCTAAGCGCGACGTGGTGGGAGCGTTCAAGTGGCATTTTCTGAGGAGTCAGGATGTCCCCGAGTTCTGCGCACGATTGATGGGCTTGATCATTATCGGTCTTGTCATGGTATTCGGTTGGGTTGGGGCTCCTGGGGAATTCGTCATTTGGGCAACCGCAGCACAGAAACACCATGGGTCGTTCCGACCGGCGTGGCCCGGGTTCAATGACGTCACCGTTGTTCCTCACGGGAGAGGCGCGATCCGCTCGGTATGAAGATGAACAGAGGCTGATTAGGTTCGTTGTTTTCCTCCACCAAATCATGGGACGCTCCATAGGAGGCATCCGACAAAGGCTTTCAGCCATCCGTTATGCCCACATCACGGCCGGCTACCCCGACCCACTCTCAGGGAAACCCCGGCTGTGGTCTGCCGTAGCCGGACTGCAGAGGTGGGAAGGGGCCCCAACCAGAAAGCTCCCAGTTACCCCAACCATGCTCAGGTGGTTGAGCCAGCACATCCAACGAATGGGTCTAACTGTGCCAGACCAAGCCATGGTTAGAGGGGCCCTTTTGACTGGGTGGTTTTTCATGCTGAGAGCTAGTGAACTCTTGCCGCATGGGGATGGATCAGACCCGCTAGATCGGGCGATCCGCCCAGCCGATGTTGCCTTCTACAAGGGGGGTCAAGCCTGTTTGGGGACAGTAGCAGATGAGGTAGTGATCCAAGTCAGGTCCTCCAAGACAGACCAGTTCGGTCGTGGGCAAGCTCGTTCACACCACCGTTCCGGTGGAGACCTGTGCCCGGTTGAGGCTTTGGCCACACTGCAAGCACTACAACCTCATCGTTGGAGAGGTGCGGAGCTTGAAAAGCCACTGTTTCGGTACGCTGACCGATCCGGTCTTGACCGCGAGGGGATAGCCCATCTGATTAAGGTGGCAGCGCTGGCTGCGGGATACCCGGGGAACTTGCAGGGTCTCATTCACTCCGCAAAGGGGGGGCCACGGCTTTCTTCGCATCTACCGGGGATCTTGAGAGGTTGAAGAGATACGGGGGTTGGACCTCTGATGCCGTTCATGCATACTTATATGAAGACCACACAGCCCAAATAGGCATCTCCCAAGGCATGATAGGTAGCAACGTCATTACCTTGCCTAGTCAGAAAGCTCAAGCCGCCGAGCGCCCTCCGGTTGGAAACCACCAAGATCGGTCCGATCTCAATCGTAGGACTCTAGGCTCGAGATCTTTGTCTTGGGCCCCAGACCGACGGGTGTCCTTCTGCGAACGTGCTGGAGGCTGCACCATGGAAGCAGCCCCGGTTAGCAAGCTGGAGGAGTCACACCTCTTCTTCAGGCACAACCCGGATCTAGACCTGCGTCGACTCCTCGGAGTCAGGCGAGGGGCCAGCACGCCCGAGGTGCTCAAGGCGTTTCGAATGAAAGCAAGATCGTACCATCCAGACAAGCTCAGCCACTTGCCAACAGAGGAGCAGGAGGAGAAATCCGAAGAGTTTAAGAGGATGTCAACCGCTAGGGATATCCTTAGTGACCCATTGATGGCCGAACAGTTCCTTCAGTGGCAGGCAGAGAGAGCAGCAGAGCTCGCCAGAGCCAGGGCGAAAGCGGCAGCGGCAGCCCGGGCAACACCAGCCCCAGCCAGGCCAAGGGCAACCAGAGCCTATGACCCTCGCAATAATGAGGATGAAGGGCAGGCTCGAGGATGCTACGCACAACAGGCTAGGAAGGAGCCTTCCCCATTTATTTTCGGGAAGCTCGAGACTTCTTTGAGTCGAGGTCCACCACTCCACCACCAGGTCCGCAGGCCGAGCCTCAGCAGACCCAGCCTAAGCCAGCATCCAAGGGGCGCCGCCAAAACCTCCAGGCTACATGCCACCTCCACGAGATGAGAGGTTGCCCAAAGCTAAAACACCACCCAAAGCTGGTCTGAGGAAACCACCACCTCCTCCGCCCAGTGACTTCCTACCACCAAAGCAGGAGGGAGGAGGGACAGCTGGTCAGGAAACCACCACCTCCTCCGCCCAGGGACTTCGTCCCACCAAAGCAGGAGGAGAGAGGGACCGCAGCCGGTCGGAAAGCACCGCCGCCACCCCAGCCGGCGAGCTTTGTTCCACTAAAAGCAAAGGGATCAGCATCATCAGGCGTGCAAGGAACACCCGAGGAGAGCGTAGGAGGAACCCCCAGGCATTTTGAGCGGTCCGCTCAAGCATACCAAGCCAAAGGAACACAAGAGGACCTACGGGCCCCCAATGCCGGAGAGGGGGAAGAGCCATTTCGACCTTCCGGGATGTTTGAGAGAAATCCCCAAACTTACCAAGGGGAAGGAATTCAGAACAAGCAAGATATCCGGCCCGATGCGGCCTGCATGGAGGTGGACCAAGGAGCTCAGAAAGGGGCCAGCCCAGCTGCACTGTGGTTGGGAACACCAGAGCCCAGTGACCATGCGAGCAGGGTGGAAGACCCCTCCCAGGACTATGTGGTGGTCAACGTAGATCCGGACTCCGAAGATGACTGGCACGATGTGGTCGATCCGACCAGCTGTGATTGGCCAGAGGTCAGTCAGAACTGGGATGAGGAGAACACCGCGGACGGTCTTCAAGGGGATCAGAAGGAAGCAAATGATGCCCTCAACCAGAAAGCACTGGATGCAGTAAGAAGCTTCCTTTTCCACTACAACAACCAGAAGCTGATACAACAACCAGAAGCTGAGGCAGCAGAGGAAGACCCTAGCACCCATCCCAGAAGTCGAGACTCCGTTGCCTGCAGCAGTCAGGGAAGACTGCTTGAGCGGTGGATCCCCAAGGATCAACCTCGCCGAGATGGTCTTCCCACACGCTTTGGGAGCTATGACATCCAGGGGAAAAGATCCAAGGAGCTATGCAAGGCCCAAAAGAGCGGTCAACAAAGACACTAAGGATGAAGATGTCCCCATGACGGAGCAGCCTTCAAGGGACAGCGGGGAAAGCCCTGCCAAAGCGCCAAAGGTCGAGGAGACGAAGGACCAACCCATGACGGAGGAACCCCCACCGCCGGCTGGTCCAGCCAGATCAAACTCGACCGCTCCGGTCGAGACACCTTTCTTCTCCGCAGAGGAAGTCGACTGGGGAGATCAGGAAGATGATCGAACTCCAGAGGAGCTTCAACAGGATATGGATCTCCTGAAAGAGATTGGTGATCGCATGGAAGCATACCTGAAGGCGCCCGCAGAGATCAAGGCAAAGATGAGGGTTTCATCCTGGCAGCGATGCACCGAGTACCTGAAGTCCCTGCGGCTGCGAGCGGATGAAGCTCCACCACCCACCAAGCCGGGCAAGTTCGCAGCCGACATCCGGATGGGTTTCTCACCAGAAGAAGCGAGGCTTCGACAGAAGTCGCGGCAAAGAGCAGCCAGGCATCACCAGCAACTCGCACGAATGGAAGGTTGCACGCCAGCTGACATGCCGAGGTCTTGTGATCATCCAAGACCCCCCACTTTGGAACCCGGCTATCAAGCCGAGAGGGCACAGAGAAAAGCCCAGCGCACCGCTGATTTGGGGACGAACCCCCAGGGAAGTGCAGCGGCTGCTTCAGCTGATGATCCAAGCCACCCTCAGAACCAAGATGAATGGCTATGGAATCAGCCAAGCTCCAACAGCCACCAGCAATGGCAGGGATCAAGCTGGACTGAGGAGCAGTGGAGAAACTGGCGATCCGCCGGATACGGTCAAGAGTGGAACCAGCAGTGGCACCAGCAGAACTGGCAGCCAAACTGGAAAGCTGGAGACTGGCAGCGTTGGCCCTAAAGCCCTGAGTGAGCGGTTGCCGGAAGCTCCTTCCGGAATTCATTCGAAGTGACCTCAAGATCAGTACAGGGTCCTGGGGTCGCAACTTGCAACTCCTAAGGGGGGAATGACGGGCGAAGCCCTGTCAGACCTCTGGGCTGTGGTACTGACTCAAGTGCAACACAGCCACGACAAAAGGAGTCGCATTGCATGCGCTTCGCATTCTGTTCAGCAGCTTGAGTTTAGCTAACACATTTGCCATTTCCGGTCAGCCTCCGTCCCAAGACAGGGGATGGGTGGCGCCTGGACGTCAAATTGTTTGTCCAATGTTGGTGTTGCAGTTGAGTTTTCAGCAGCGGCGACAATACACCCGGGATGTAAATAGGAAAACGTGCTGGTTCATTAGGACTGGTTGAAAGCCACGGTGTGGGTGGATCGGTCGAGCCTACGCTTGCCGTTTTGAGGCGGATGAAACGTCCGCTGCAAGCGGCCTGCCGAACTCTGAGAACCCCAGCGACCATCTTCCAATTGCTGCCATATTCGAGGCAATGTTTTACGTTTGGACCCAGGCGTAGGACTGCGCGTTGGGTTTGGAGAAACATGGTGCCTGAAGATGAAAAACGGCCGCCAGCTTTCAGGTTTCCTCAACTCCACGCATAACTGAAGCAGGAAGGCGCCTTGGGTTCATACCAGCTTGTTCAGAGTGATTGGCGCGCTTGCCTTTGAATGAAAAGTGAACGTAGTGTAAGCAAAACGATGGTTCAGCAACCCCCGTGTTTTGAAGGAATTTTCAACGTTTCTAGGGTTGGTCGAAGGGTCAACGTATGCAAGCGTGCAGCAGATTTTGCGCGCGTGTTTTTGCTGAGGAAGATGGGCGAGGGTTCAAACCGACAAGAAAGCAAGAGGAGAGCCCACGCGGGAAGTCTTGCTAAGGGAACTAAAAAGAGAAGTTGGACAGGCGCCCGAATTTTCAAGAGTTGCAGAGAATTCTTGCCGAGGACGATGGGTAGAGCGCAAGAAGGCACAGGGCAGGAAGGCCACAAGAGGAATGTGAGTGAGACAGACGCGTGACCCCACCAGCGGCGTACAAAACAGACTTTGGAGGTGCGTTTGGCCCCTTCACTGCGGTCAGTCCGGGTACTAGTGCGACGAAAACCACGTACTTTGAAGAGCGCAGACAAGAGTGATTGGGCTTGGCGGTTGACATCATCATGAAGACCTCGCCTCGCCGGCGCACGCGGCGCCGAAATGCCAGATGAGTTGTTGGGCTCTCCCTAGGGCGTGCGTCCCTGCACTTCACTAGAGTTGATGACATTTGTGTTTTGCCAGCTCGGGCGTTCGTGCCATACGCGCTTCTACCTCAAGCAGGCCTGCCTTGCCAAAAAAGGACACGCTGCTGCCAGGCCATGTCGCAGGGTGCCGGAGTGTTCAGCTACGTTCAGCTACGACAAGGCGGAAACCTCAACGTTGGCAGAGTTGGCAGAGAGAGCGCGCTAAGGAGTGCAGGGCCACTATGTAATGTGAGTAAACCAATGCCTGACGCCCCGGTACGCCGGGCGGGGACGTTTTTGTTGTTCTTGCTGCGTCCTCCGTCCTTCTTCCCCCCGTCCTCCTCCTCCTCCTCATCATCATCATCTTCTTCTTCATCAAACATCATCTTCATCATCCTCATCAACGTCATCATCATCGCCATCATCATCATCATCATCAATCAGCATCATCATCAACACATCAACACACTACACAATGTGGGAAAGACTACATCTTCATCATCCTCATCAACATCATCATCATCAACGCATCAACACATCAACGCTTCAACGCACAACACACTACACAATGTGGGAAAGACGGCTTCTGTGACACCTGGGGAGCTCCTCAGGCTCGAGCCGTGTGGCAGGCGTGTCACTTTCAGTACCTTCATAGAGGTCTGCGGAAGCTTGCGACGAGCCTGTCCTGTGTGGATGGCTTCTGTGACACCTATAGGGAGGTCCTCAGGCTCGAGCCGTGTGGCAGGCGTGGCACTTTCAGCACCTTCATAGGCAGCCGTGGTGCTTCCAGTACCTTCATACAAATCTGCGGAAGCTTGGCGACAAGCCTGTCCTGTGTGGACGCCGCCTCG